TATTATTATTATTTTAAAGAATGGCAAATTGTCAGTTACTGGCAGGAGACATCAGGCTGTAAGTGGGATAAATGGATTGGGGTAAGCTAATGGTATATGACACAAAATTCAGGAGAGAGTCAAGGTTGACATAGGATCTTACTTTTATTCTCCGATCCAGCTCAACATGAGTCATCCAAGAGAAGTGGAACTGCATGTTAACCAAGGTCGCAGGGAACAATGGATCAGATTGCTTTTTCTCAGCCACCTTAAGAACACTGGAAGCTGAGTCAGACCATTGGTCCATCCGGCTCAATATTGTCTACATTGACTGGTAAAGCCTCTCCAGGATATTAGACAGGGATCTCTCTCAGCCTACCAGGAGATGCTGGAGACTGAACCTGAGTCCTTCTGCATGCAAAGCAGATACACTATCACTGACATAGAACCCTTCCCCCAATTCAGCCTTGTACTTTAATTGAATGGAAATGTAGGCAAAGGTCTTCTAAAGAAACCTTAATTACCAAGGTCCATGTCCAGGAGCTTAGTCATGGTGTCAATATGGCTGACGTGGTGCAATTTTCTTTTTGCAACTTAGCTTATTGTCACCAAATTCGTTGTTTTGCTCCAGTTCCTTCTAGTGCCCAAGGACGTTGCTGTTCTTTGGATATGGGCCGTTGCTGGCACACTCTCTTTTTTTGCAGTTTGTCCTTTCATTCATCCTGAAAAAGCTATGTCACTGCTGTTCAGGGACATTAGTATACGGATATCAAAAGCAGTTCTTTCCATCATAACAGCTGCGTGAGGGACGGATGGATGGCACTGAGTCATTTGGCTGGCTAATTAAGGGCTTAACCTTAAAAGAGTTTTCTTAAGGATCTGACTCAGCTTTATATTTAGGACGGCCAAAAATCCACATGATTTTAAAGTTCCAGGGAATTATTTTGGCCAACATTACCAAACTTTTAAGTGGGACTCAATAAATAGACTTCAACAAGTCTTAGCAGATGAAAAAGTTTCTCGTTTTTATATGGATGGAGATTCATTCAGTTCCTAGAGCTGAAAATGAACGGTAAAAATTAAAAATAAAGTGGGGCCCCAAATTCTCATGTCATATTGCCCTGCAAACATTCTGATATTCAGGTTGTAAAATGTGGTATTTGAATTTTTAATTGTGGTGGGTTTGGGGTTTTCCCCCCTAGTGGATGGTCGAAATTTGATCAAAACTCTAAGCTGAAAATAGCTCTGACTTTTGAGAGACTGACAGTCCACATCTACTCAGAAATAAGTTCACTGAGCTTGATTGGGCTTGCTCTCGTGTATAGGATTGTGCTTTTAAGCAGCAACAGGGAACTATTCTTCCTCTGCAACAAATCAGACTTACTCAAGTGATGCACTTTAGCTAGATTGTGCCCAACTGTCACACAGCTGCAAGCACTGTATCCTCACAGGATGTGAACAGCTATGCTAAGATTGTTCTAAGGAAGTGCCTTACCTGCAGAATGCATTTTTTACAGTCTGTACTGACAAACCTCCCAGTGTAATCTGTTAGCTGTGATAACGAAGAACTCATTTCATGGAAGACTTCGTTTCTACACCAGAACTAAAGAAAATGTTGGCCTCTCCTTGGCACATTACTTGATGCTGTTAAGACACAGTGTAAGTAATAATGTTGACTCTGGACTCTTGCACCACACCTTCTGCTAGGCGTTTGCTTCAAATCCACTCCCAAACACAGGAACACATTCAGAGAATTTCACATCCCAATAATGTGAAATCCCAACAATATCCCTATTTGCTCCAACCACTCTCCCTGTAACCAGAAACCCTGCATTATCATGGTTATTGATTGTTGGCAGGTTTGTAAGTGTGCTCAACTGAACATGCTTAGAAATACAACTCTTCTGACTTCCCTGCTCAATGCAGGAAAGTTGGAATTAGAATTGGCTGGTGTGTGCAGTGTAACTGGGGCAGGCCAGTATATTCCCTTCATACACATTGGCTAACAGCAAACCATTGATTGAATGTAATGGCTTTGGATCCCAGTAATGAAAATCTGTATTCATAAATGCTATTCATTCTTTTTCATGTTGTCATTCAATTTGCAAATGTTTTGAATCGCTCTCGATTGTGAAAGGTGCTTTGTGATCTACATCTTATGAATCTGCATGGGTTGAATATGGGGCAGTGATTTACCTAAGACCACCCAGCAGTGGTCCTAATAATTTGGCAGGGCAATAAATTTATCCAAATATCCTAGGGTAAATAATATTCAGTGGCTTTGGTTTTCACACTTTCTACAAATTAAAGTTTCAACGTTGACTTGGCTTCCTGGCAATTCCTGAACCTCAGCCACTGAACCTTTGCAGAAGATTCATGCGTTTGTGTGGGTTACTGGCCAATCACAAGTTGCCTCACTACTGTCCTACATAAACTAAGAATGTGCTCTGGAACATTCCCAAAGGCCACATATTTCAAGTGGATAGAAACAGCAGTGGACAAGCTACTTTTTTCAAGGAAGGTTGTCTAACTGATACATCTAAGAGCTTCATGGAAAACCACTAAAAACCACCAGGGCAGGCAGACCCATGGCTTTAAAACAGCTTTCCAGATATGCAACATGTTCAGCCATTTGCTTCAAATATAAAATCACTTTAATTAAACAGTGCTATGGAAGCTGGATAGGATGATCTACAGCCTGCTGCATATAAGTATACATTTCCCCGTGCCCCAGACTATTTCTCCCCACAAGACCAGTAGGACTATTACACATTTTTAATACGTTATGGTACATTATCCTTCAATTTAATGTTTTGGAAACACATCCATTCATTTTATATTCCTTAGAGCTGCACAAATTTCAACTATGTCCTTTACATTGCATGTTACTATCCTCTTAAGCAATGTAATTCTGCTTTCTGCAGAAGCACTATAAAATGACTAGTTTGCATGCAACTTGGTGGTTTTTTTTTTGAGGGAGGGAGTTCATTCATGTTGTAGACTACGCATTCACTGCCACAGAAAGTCTGAATACAAATGATTCCCATTAAATAATATCCAGTAATGTATTTAATATAGACAGAAATAATTATAATTTCAGATAAAACATAACTGTCGCAACCAATGATGCCAGTAGGACTTCTTACAAGTAACGGGTTTCATTCCAGTGTACTTTGTTTTTTAAAATGAAACTTTAAAACAGAACTGAAATTGTGCATCTGGTAACTTCAGAGAAACTAATTATGTGTAACTGGGCATTAAATTCTGAAAAATAACAAGAGCTGTATCTTAAGTTCACAAAAAAAAAAGAGTGCAAAGGAGTTAGCAAGGGCTGAGCAGCATCATAATATTAGTCAGAGTGAAAACTAGAAAGAATTTGAAACTGCCACTCTGCATCACTGAAACTGAAACATTTTGAAATCATTCAATATTTTATTTAAAAATAAACGCAAGGTCAAAATTTCATTTTACCATATTGAAGAATACACACACACACACTGATATAGATATATATATAATATGAAATAATTTTTATGCACCATTTAGAGTTTTCTGAGTAGTCAGTAGTGAATGCAGTTACAGGTGATGGAAACTTCTGTGACATTCCAAGGAAGACTTGACAAAATAAAGAGGCGGTGTGAGGCATCAGAATGCATTGCAACATCTTGGTTAGAGCCCTCTGCACCTGCTTCAGCAGATGGAATGGAATTATTAAAAGAAACGACATGGCAATGAATACAAAAGTATTCCCTCAGGGGCAAAGATGTTTTGAAATTAAGTTGACACATTTTTATGTTATAAATTAAAAGGGAGGTGCTCTCAAGGAGCCTGTACTTTTATAGCCTCAATGTAAACTTACTGCTCTCCGTGGTGTGTTATTGTAATGCAAGGGAGCACACTTTGGCCTCCAGATACAGATGCACTCTAAGATAAAGCACCATCTAGCCAGTTAATTGCCCAAGCTATGCATGTGTGCGTATGTAGAAGAGGCAAGCAAAGGAAAGGCTCTCCTCACCTTGTTCCATCTCACTCATCACCAACTTTGTATTTGTGCAGTTTTAAGTATATGTTAGTATACGTGTGCAGGTGTGTGTGCTTTTATGTTCCTACATGAATATTTATGTACAAGTGTGTGAGCAGCACTTGCATATTTGAGCCAAAGGAATTTCAGAATCCACATTCATCTGCAGTGCAGGTAAGATGTCCTGTAAAGGGATTTCTTTTTGGAATAGCCTATGCATGAAGATGAAGTCTTCCTGCTCAACCAGACCTTAGTGCAAGCCCTTTGTTTCCAGTAATTCCCTCCGGAGGTATATTGATGCCTGAAGCAGAGTCCAAAGGGTGGCTGTCTCTTCTTACCCAACTAGGGCCTTCACATTAGGAAGACTTGCATCTCAGTTCACACATCAATTCCTGCCTTCGATTCTGCCACCCTCATATTATCATGTGAAGCAAGTTGTTTCACCCTGCTTGCATTATTGTGCAGCCCAACATATGCCATCAGCTGCAACATTAGATGATTCCTTTGATTTTGGCAGCTAAGTAAAGTTAGCCTGGGTCAGTGTCTAGTCTGAGAACTTTGGGCAAGTTGCCCTCCCTGAGCACTAACCTTATGTCCCCTACCCCAAAGAGCTCACCATGGGCCAGTATGTACAAATGGGAATGGGTGGTAGGATTGGTGGGTAGGGGTACACTTTCATCTGCCCAGTATTCTGTATGCTACTGAAAAGAAAGGCCTCTGGACCCCAATGTTGGGGCAGGGCTCAGAGACACTGTAAATGTTCTCTTCTCGGGCTTGGCCATCTTCTTCTTCTTCTTCTTCTTCTTCTTCTTCTTCTTCTTCTTCTTCTTCTTCTTCTGAGCAATGCCAGCAGATGTGGAGTTTATTCCCTAGCAACTGTTTTTAGCATTGTAGCCCAGATCATGTTATGCTGCTCTTTTTTGTTGTTTAAAAACTATACATGCTAGTGAAATGTTTTTGTTTTAGGAAACTAAACATGTATTTGGACAACTCATAAAGCTACAATAACCCTCTTTATTTTAGTTACAGATAGGTAGCCGTGTTGGTCTGCCATAGTCAAAACAAAAAAAAATTCCTTCCAGTAGCACCTTAAAGACCAACTAAGTTAGTTCTTGGTATGAGCTTTCGTGTGCATGCACACTTCTTCAGATACAGAGCTTCAAATAAAGCTACCTCTTTATTTTAGTAAGTGTAAGTGCTATTCAGGTTGAATTCCTTTCTATTAGTTACAAGTTGTGGCCTATTTCTACAATAAGCAAGGGAGAGTTTCAGGGGGTGGAAGTTTTGAGCTCTCACTACCATTAAAGCAGCTACTATTGTTAGTGAGATACAGTCAGATTATATCAACACTTCCAAGCACAGTAAAAGATTTACTATATATGTTCTCTTTTAAAAGACTGAGTTATACAAATATTCCATATACTGAAGAACAAATGTAATTCAAAACATTTTGAGACAGCCAAGAGAGATCAAATTTTTCTTACAGAAACAGCAAGCTGAAGATTGGAAATAATTTCCCCTAGACAAGAAATGAGAATTTCACCAAAGTGCTGAAAGCTATTCTCTCAGGAAATAACACATTTTGAAATAAACACTGAAGGATGAAGTTCTTCCTTTACATCTACACAGCAGATCTAAATGCTTTGCCTCCTATTCCCAGGCTATATGAAGCTTATGCTTAAACCAAGTAAGATTTAGTTTCTCTGAAGGGATGAAGATCTTTTTAAAGCCCTCTTTTAGCTGATTTTTATTCACACTTGTCAGAATGAAATTCCATAAACTGTTTTTGGTAATGCATTCAAGAGAAACAGAAGCACAAAAAGGGATGAATGATGTAGTCCCTAAAAATGTACTGGTAAGTGATTTACCTTTTCTTCATATGAATTTACCCAATATAATAGAAATACTTGATATTACTTGACTAGTTTATGGTGGAGTCAAAATTGTTAGGGTACTTAACCCACACATTCAAAAATCTGCAATTGGCACATGCAAGAAAGGCCTAAAAATAAGTGATTTGTACGCTGCTTCCTTTTAAAAAGTTTTTTATTTATGATTTCATTTATAACAAACATTTCAACAAAAATAATCCTTACATATCAAGCCTCAACTTCCCTCCCCCTCTTTCTGTGGTTCCTTAAATTTACTCTCCCCCCCCCCACTGCATATCCCCATTTGTATGCTGTTTCCTTGCTAAGATGGAAGCTCGAAGTGTATCTCTGAATTGTTTAGGCACCTCTGTACTAGTTAGAAAAATGCAGGTTTATACATATAGGTACCACATTCCTATGTGAATTCATTTAAGTGTAAGCACTACAGCTGAACACAGTGGGACTTACTTCTCAGTGAATATGCATAGATTGCACTGACAAGAGTCTAGGGGGGTGGGGAGCAAGACCAAATTTCACACATACAGAAACCACCCCTTGCTCTGCCTTTCCTAAGCTGACTAAGCCGGGTGCCAGGCTTTGGGATGGAGGAACAAGGGTGTAGCAGGGTCTCAAGAGCCCCCTTAGCTGCTTCCCAAAGCTGGGAAAGTGCAAACTAGGCTTTGAGAAGGAGCTGTGAGGACTCTAGGACCCTGTAAGAGCCCTTGTGCCTCCTCCCCAGAGCCCAGTGCTTCACTTACCTGGTTTTACTGGAACACCATAACACATGGAAATGTGAAAATGGCACTCTTTGACATCTAATGGTCAACATCTGTGGTATCAACTGTATGTCACAGTAAACGGATTACTTGTTATGGTGAATTATTAACTCCAAGAAAGCAACATTAATATCACAGATTAAGGAAGGGGAAAATGTTTTCATTTAAAACATAATCACCCTTTTGGCACTTTGTTCTAACTCTGGGTTGTTGCGAGTTAAACGCATTGCTTCAAAGTGCCCTTTTTGAATTCACACACTATTAACTTTGGCGGGCGAGACCAAGTAACAAGAGACATTGGGGGGAAAACCACGCATGCTGTTCTATGGAGAGCAGTGAAACTTGTGCAGTGCACACTTCTAAAGTTGCCCTGCTGAATTTAGTGGGGCTCACTTCCAAGTCCATGCGCAGGAGACCTCAGCCATTGATTGACAGGCAGACCTAGGGTGATTTCTGCGGCACACAAAGTTGTGCATGTCTGTTTCCTCAGAAGTAGGCACTGCTGAGAGTTCGTGTGGGTTTTACTCCCCAAGGCATGTCGACAGGATGGCAGCCTGATGTCGCCTGGAACAGATGGGAGGGAAGGAAATGTTGAAAACTGACGTGCTAGTTTTGCTCGGGATGCAAGCCCACTTGACCTCAGCGGCACTTACCTCTGAGTAAAGGCGCCCGAGGTCGAGTTGCTTTGCTGCGTTTTTCTTGCCCCGCAATCCTTGCGAAGCCCTGCAGGCTGAGTGTGCCTGGGACTTAACTCTGAGCAAATGTGTTTAGGATTAAACTGCGCGCGGAATCTGAACCAGTACGATCGCCGGGTGGCGTGGTGGCCTGGTAACACGCTACTGAATCCGGGGTGGGGGGCTTACTTCGGAGCAAAGAAACACGCAGAAGTCCTTACGTAACACTCCGTATCCAGACTCCTCCCGAGGCGGTGCCTATTCCTATTCCCATGAGCCTCCCTTGCCTCAAAAACCGGATACATTTCCTTGTCTCTATCATACCGCCCCTACCCCCCCCCCCGCCGGCCTCCTCGGTCCTCTTTCACCTGCTTTCCTCACTCCCACAGACCCCCGTATACTTTCCGGAGAAAAGTTCCCTTTGGCTCTCTCGGCCCGATTCATGAATCACAGTCGGGGGAGGAGGAGGGAAGGGGGGGAAAAACACACTCCCCCCCTCAGCGCCGGAAGTGCTCCTCCGTCCACTTATTGGCCTATATCCTTATCAGTCAGGAACTGGAGGACCAACAAACTGCCCCCTCCTCCCCCGCCCCCAGAATTCTTAAAGTTGGGCGGGGTGGGGGGGGAGCCTTACCAAGTTGTCAGCTTGGGCTTTTCTTTCCTCCTCCTGACTCCCTCCTCCCCCCTATTAGCAGTCGCGCGCTCACCTTTGATTGGGTAATGTCAAGGGAATTGAACCTTAGCACCGTTAGAGAGAGAGAGGCGCCCCCCTCCCTCCTCCCTCACAGTACGCAGGCGCGGTGCCGCCGGCTGCACGAGCTCTTTGCCCACTCGCTCGCCTCCTCCCGAGGAGGGCTCGGCTGCGGGCGGGTCCTAGCGCCGCCCGGCCCGGCCCCTCGAGCGCCGCCCCCGCACGCCCCTCACCGGGGCAGAGCGATGAGCGAGGGCAGCGGGGCTGCTGCTGCTGAGGAGACGGCGGCGGCGGCGGCAACGACGACGGGCCCGCCGGGACGGATTAGCCCCCCATGTTTCCCCGAGGAGCCCCAGCGACGGCACAGACTGTGGTGGGGAGCGGCGTCCCGTCCTCTTTGTTGGCTGTGCTGCTGCAGTCCTCGCCCCTGAGGCTCCGGGTGGGGGACGAGGCTTCGAGGAAGGGAGAGTGTCGTGTGGCGGCGGCCGGCCGCCGCTGCTGTTGCTGCAAGGGACAGAAAGCGCCCGACGAGCAACCGGAACCAGGAAAACTGCTGGGATTTAATACGGCGGGCTGCGCCGAGGGATGGCGTGTGCCTGAAGGAGGACGGGAGGCTCCGCGAAGAGAGGGAACAAAGTGAGGGGGCCAGAGAGGCTCGTCAGGGGCTGCTTCTTGCGGGTCCTCTTTATTCACCCCCGACCTCTCCGACATTCCCCGTGAGGGGGGACTTCGCTGCTGCTTGAAACTGACCTTGGAGATCTACAAAAACTAGCAACGTTTTCCTTTGGATTTTCCTTTCCCCCCACCTCTCCCCCCCTTAAAAAACACACTTTAAGAATACATATCTACAAATATCGCTCCAGGTTTCTAACTTGTAGGTATATTGAATATAGCTGGCATAAGAGATTTTATTGTATTTATTTATTTTAAATCCCCACCCAACCCAGCCTTGGTGTTTGGGAACTTGCCACTTGAAAACAACCACCACCAGTGCCTTGGTTAGGTATTGGGTGTTGTGTGGCCCTTGCAAACCATGTGTGGAGATTAATCATTTATCTGTGAGAGCATGTAGGAGGGAGACAAAGCATGAATTTAAAAAAACGGAGGAGAGTGTTTATCACTGTTCACCGGTGACTTTAAATTTTGAAGGTATTAAGGAAGTTGATGGGTAAAATTAGTGGTGTGGGGTTGTTGTTGTTTTTTGTAAGATTGTTAAGGCGGTATATTTCCATAAGTTGTGCTAAGGTACTGTCAGTGACTGTGTATGACGTGATACATCAAATATCATTTCCTTCTGACTAAAAGTTACCGTGGGTGGGTGATGGGAGGGGGGCTTATAGTCAAAAGTTAACCTGGTCTTTCACTATACGTACTGTGTGTTTGCCCTTTGGTGATTAGCTGAAGGTGGGGTGTGGGTGTCAGTTTGGGTGAGGAGATTTCATGATATTATACATTACTCTTCTTTTTCTTACAACATTAAGATCCCAGATGGCCAATTCCCTCAACGGCCGGAACCCAGGTGGCCGAGGAGGAAACCCCCGCAAAGGGCGTATTCTGGGCTTCATTGATGCTATTCAGGATGCAGTTGGCCCCCCCAAGCAAGCAGCTGCTGATCGCAGGACTGTAGAAAAAACTTGGAAATTAATGGATAAAGTGGTGAGTCTGTCAGTTGAGTCCTTGTACCAGAAAATAGTCAAGACTATTTATATGTGTACATGTATGGTCAGATCAGTTTGTGTCCTTGTTTGGAAAGAGTGAGTGTTTTCACATTTATGGCAGATCCCCATTTAACCGTGGCTCATGTTTTCTCCTTAATACAGAAGAGGGAAAAATACATTTGTTTTAAATGTACCTTTTGATAAGCACAGTTCTTTAAATAGTAGCGATTTGTAGGGTTGTGAATAAGCAGCTTGTTTCCTGTGAACCAAATGTTCTTTGGTTCCCCACTGGAGCATGTTGTTACAATATCTTCTTGAAAATGAAACTTCAGTTAAGGTAATCAAGTTGTGAAGCACTCTTATGTTAATCATATGCATGCAGTTCAATTTGCAGTTTAGGGGAATAAAAAAACCCTTGCTTTCTCTCGTAGGAATGAACAAAACTTAATGGCCTTGGCTTTCAATTTTAATGGTTCCTTAAAATGTATTATGTGATTTCTTGAATAGTTATTGGAGAGCTGTTTACCATGGAGGCATGGTGTACGAATCAAATATTATCTGTTAACCTGTATCTGAATTGGAATCACTTATTTTGTTAAATATTGCTGTAGAATAGTTAGCACGTTTAGTCATTGCAACTTCTACTAAGTTGCATGCAACATCCCTTTTCTCACTGCAGAAAAATATGGTTCATTACTAAGGCAACAGGACAGATATTTAATTAAGTGTGCAGCATTGGCTATGAGGATGATTGATGGCTTTCTTTTTAATCCTTCACAACTGAATAAGCAACATCAGTTGGCATTAAATTCTTAAAACAAAAGAATAGTCTTTACTCATGGCTTTATGGCTGATATTTCACCTACAATGAATATATGAAGTTTCTATATAGGTAAAGAATATTATTGTATATAACTAGGTGGAATTCTTACAACTTTGAATTGAACGTTTATTGAGAGAGCAATAGAACTTTCATTTGACAAGCAGTAAATGTCTCCATGAAGATGCTTAAATAGCCACAACTGATTCTTAGGCCTTTTACAATTATTATCAAGCCTTAACTTGGAATTCAAGACTAATGTATTGCATAAAAGTCGCACATTTGATTCCTGGTGTTGAAGTCTAGAAATAAACTTCTTTGGAACTCAAGTTTTGATTGTATGTGTTGCCAGCCTAGAGATTTCAGAACAACTTTAAAGGTTACTACTACTGCTAAGACTGGCAGTAATTCAGGCTAAAGTGTGTGCCTGTAATACCTTATCTACCTACCTGATTAGGGCAATTTACTTTAGTCTCAGTTTAGATATCCTATAGATTTTCCATAATTTATGCGTTGCAAGTTGATCATAAACCCTCTTTTCTTTCTGAAGTTACACTTTGGTGCCTGCTTGATACAGTACAAAATCCATAACATGAGAACTGAGAAAACTGCATTGCTCAGGCTCCAGTGCTATGGACATTACTTGAGACTAACATCTTATACCAGTTCATGTCTACCTTACTATTTGTCAATTTAGTCCAGTCCTGTCTGCAGTAGCTCTCTATGCTTTTTTCAGGTGGAGTCTTTCACTTCATTTGCTATATAATCCTTCTAACTAGAAATGTCAGGGATCATATCTGAAATATTCGCATAACAAACATGTGCTCTACCATTGATCTGTGGCCATGCTTTCCAGAGTAGCTCCAGTTGGATTCAGTAGAACTTGAGTAAGAAATAGTTAGAGTTGGGCTGCTCAATCCATAATACAAAGCAGACATCTCTACAAACTCTGTGGATCTTTGTTTTGTGACATACATTGAGGCCATAATATAGACATCCTTATTGTGCTGTTTGAGTTCCATGGGTCAGGTTTTTTTTTTTAATGTATTCAGTTTAAAGATGCTGATATCTTTTTGCTTTTAACATGTTTCTATTAAGTTAAGATTTCATTTTTAATATTTCCTTTTTTTTTACATTCATGTTTCTTCCCAAAAGCATTCCTGGAGGAAAATGAGGAATATTTTAGTTGCCCCTTGCAAACCTAGGTTCATTTATCCCTTGTGCATTGTTTCTATATCTAGCACTGTCACTTCCTCACAGCTTTATCTTGCCAATCTTGCTAACCATATTTATCTGATTTCAATGGGACTGATGTCCAAGTAAGGGTTTTTTTAGGTTTATAACTTTAAATAGCAAACCGCCTTGGGATGCCATCTCTATCCTATTTATATAGCAAACTGGTAGTGCTAAACAAACGTATGATGGAAACAATCACAGTTGTCTGGGATATATGTGCAGTTAGTGGTGAAGTAGACTGATTAATTTACTGAATTATACTTGCGTATTTGGTTATAGTAACATCATACTTAAGGTGTTTCTCTGAAGCAGCAATTGTTGCTCCATCCTAAGCACTGATTTGCTGACACTTCAAAAGTAGTATGAATGACCAGTATTAACATAGTATCAGTTCATAGAATGGCTAAATACAGTACTGTAGTTCATTACAGTGGCCCTTTCCATACAGCTGTAAGTGAGCCCAGATTTAGTTACAGTACTTGTGTCTGTGTACTGTAGCTGTAATCTAGGAGAACAGGAAGTTGCCTTGTGGGTATAGACTTTAGCAGGTGTGTTCTGAATGGCAAAAAGATACTGTTATTCAGGTCTAAAATTAATGTATTGTTAAATTGTCTATGTAAGTTTTATTTGGACATAACTTCTATAATGCCTTATAACTGGCATTCAGTACTATAACATTTGGAATGTAAAATTATTAGCAGTATTCATCAGATATAGGGATGTAACCTGAGATTTCTTCTCTAAGTGGTATTAGGTCTAAATCTCAGAAAGCTTTCTAATGTTGTTTTCTTGTTTCAGTTACTATGCAAACTGTGAAGGATCTCATTGTTTACATCATTACTGCTTGATTTTTAAAAGCCTTGCTACAATGGCTTGTATCCCTTTAATTTATGGAAGTTCGTGAAAGAAAAGTTTCCTCATCCCTCTGTCTCTTCCAGAGGACTCCCCTGCCAACAGTGGCAAGGGAATTGTCACAAATTGACTTCTTTAAGTTAACTTATTTTAGGGCCCAAGCCAATGTTTTTGCCCACGAGAGTATAGGGTCTGTTTTACAGAAGGCTTTAGGAAGTCTAGATGCTATACCTTCCCCACCCCCCTCTAACATTGGTTAAGTGTCCTCAGTTGGATCTTAATGTATCCCATTTAAGCTTTTGTCAGTTAATCACATTTTATCTCCAGATTAAATTAAGGTATACCAGACAGGATGATGTCATGATGTTAGAATCCTGTTATTTGTATCTAGAGTTGAGTATTTGGTACTTGTAGTGGAGAGGATGCATTTGAACAAACTATTCAGCCATCTTTTGTGTTAGCAG